GCCGTTGACCACCACTCTCTGAGTTTTTTTTTCCTGCCAGTTCTCTGTCTGTTCGTGGAGACACCCGGCACGCTGGTGATGCTAACTCTGGTATGACACGGTATGTACCTGCTCACAATTCCTCTGGCCGCCTACAGGTTTCTCGAGTGTGGGAATATGAAAAAAACCTGACCACAGTGTAACTCGGTCTGCCTTGCTAGCTACACTAAGGCAACGCATCAAGTATGGAATGCAGTGTTATGATGGGGGCAAATCCGCCTTTAACAACACACCGGTATTGCCTGGGCCTTGGAGAAGCATGGAAAGGGGATTGCTGGAGCTGCACACGCACGGAGATTCCCACGGCAGCGCAACAGTGACGATGCAGTTAACAACAACTTAGGGGAAACATCAATTCCTGCTGTAGCTGTTGGTGTTTTCAACGCTCACCCAAGGATGGATTAGGGATTTGGACAGACTAGTAAAGGAAAAAAAAATTATCTAGTCCTTATAAATTTTCCCATGCATTATTCTGCCTGTTGGTAGCTCCAGCTGGAACGTTAACTATTTTACTGCCTAATCAACAGATATACATAGAAGCCAAGTCCCTTTGTAAGACAGCCTCTATTTCAGTGCAGCTCTGGCACAGAGTTTATCAAACACAATTTTTAAGGCTATAGAACTGAGCCAGAAGGCCTTTGGCTCTCGGTACCTGACCCCTTTCACCTTGACCAAGTGCCTATAAATGCACATACTCCCCAAGGCTCCTTTTTGCTGCAGAATGGAAATGAATGATGGCATCGGCAGGCACAGGACGTGGCAGCAACCTAGAAGTATGCTAAGCCTGAAACAGCAGAAACTCCAGACAGCTCTCAGAGTCACCCAGAGACCTTACCCGGGTCTCTAAATGTGAGGGAACGTGCCCATGGGACGGGCCTGGGTAACCTGTAAGGCTGTGGTATTTAGGAGCTTCTGCAGGGGGGGAGAGGAAATTAAATACTTAGAGGGGTCCTGGGTGCAGTGGCAGGGCTGAAGCCTCCTGACGGAAGGAGGAGATGGAGGTGTTCTCTCTCAGTGCCGGAGTCGTGCAGCCATGTTTTAAACAGCATCTCCAAGCTGATGACATTGTCCTCTGTGGTTTGCACATCGATGTCCATTCCCAGGATCGCAATATCTGCAGGAAAAAAAAAAAAGGTGAAAAAGCACAAATCTTTTCAGCCATAGGAAAGAACCTTCTTTTGCTTTTTCCACTACACTATACCTCTTTAGTCCCTCAAGTGCTTTCACCAAGTGCTTTAGAAGCCATTACTGTGCAAATCACAGCACAGCACTGTGACTCCAGCCCTCAATTATATAAGGACAGTGCTGGAAGCTGAGCTGCTTCCCCAGGCCGCACTCCTCATCAATGGGGTGGGTGGACTGGCTACTGGTGGTCTTCCGAGGACTAGCTGTGACTGCTGCAAACCATCCTCTGCTGTGGTCACCTCAGCACTGGCCTCAGAGCCTCTCCTCACTGTTTAAAACCATTTCCTCCTTTCCCCTAAGCAAGGGACACTGGGTATGTGATGCTGTAAGAAATCAAGAGCGCCTGCAAAACTGAAATGCTATAGTGATGGGGAATTGTGTAGCAGTGATGGAAAAGTATTACTCCTCATACTTTGCAATATGGCCCCACAACTACACCCCTAAACATCCTCAACGTGTGTTTGAAGGAGCAGCTAGTCACAGCACTGAGAAGAGCAGTGACCTGTCCAACTGGGCCTGGACCTCCAACACAGAGGACATATTTCCATGGGTTACTGCTGAAGTGCTGGGGAACAGCAGGACATCCTTGCAGGCAAGAGTCCAACCTATCCACCACCGTCAGCACTAAGCTCAAATCAGTGAAATGCGTAAAATTTAGAGACTTGTTAAAAAAAAATGAAAAGGAGAAAGTGGAAACGTTTGCAAGGACATTATCAAGTATTTAAGCTACTGTATTGGAGGTGCAGAGCAAATGTGTATGATCCAGCAACAACATTGAGGAATGGAGAAATGTAGGCTGGACAGCAGAGTAAAGGAGGTCCTAAACAAGATCCGAGTCCAGAGGAGGCCACGGAGATGCTCCGAGGGCTGGAGCACCTCTGCTGTGGGGACAGGCTGGGAGAGTTGGGGTGTTCAGCCTGGAGAAGGAAAGGCTCCGGGGAGACCTTATAGCACCTTCCAGTGCCTGAAGGGGCTACAAGGAAGCTGGGGGGGACTTTTTACAAGGGCCTGTAGTGACAGGACAAGGGGTAATGGGGTTAAATTGAAAGTGGGGAGGGTTAAATTGGACATCAAGAAGGAATCCTTCCTGCAGAGGGTGGGGAGGCACTGGGACAGGTTACCCAGAGAAGCTGTGGATGCCCCATCCCTGGAAGTGTCCAAGGCCAGGCTGGATGAGGCTTGGAGCAACCTGGTCTAGTGGAAGGTGTCTCTGCCCATGGCAGGGGAGTTGGAACTGGATGGTCTTTAAGGTGCCTTTGAGGGATGCACCTTTGAGTTGTAATTTGGGGGTGGTTTGGGTTTGTTTGGTTTTTTTTTTGCAAGGGTTTAATCTTAATCATAGAACCACAGAATGGTTTGGGGGGGGAGGGACCTTTAAAATAAGAAAC